AGAGAGAGAGAGAGAGAAAGAGAGAGAGAGAGAGAGATAGAGAGAGAGAGAGAGAGAAAGATTGCGAGTTTTTTTTTAGGGTCATGTTGGCTGGATGCGTTCAGGAAGGTTGAGGAGAGGAAGAGTTTTGATTGTTGTTTTCAGAGTGCTTGGGATTTCCAACAGGAGCAGGAGCGGAAAGCGCAAGCCTAAGCCGGGGCAAAATGCCCAAGCAGAGTCTGACCTTGGGAAAGATGATAAAAGTGGAGGAGCGGAGGAGTCTGAGGATGGCAGTGATGGCAGTGAAGATTTCCCTGGAGGAGAGCAGCCTGATGACCCCCAGTTATCTGATGGCCACCAATCCGATGGCTCCCAGCGATCTGATGACTCAGGTTCCTTGGCTTTGGTCAAGGCTTCAAAGCTTTACGAAACAGTTTCAAGTGCACCACGGTGCAGCTAAGTCATGCAAAGTCTACATCCTTTTCAAATTGTAGCTTTAGATGTCGTAGATATCCATCGACTGCCATGCCATGTTGATCCATGCTGCCTCCAAGGTGCTTTATGGATGGACTCCCAAAGCTTGACGAGGGGTCCTTGGCGCAGTAGCAGCTGCCAGGGGCGAAAGGGTTTGATTTTCCACTACGCAGGATGGTCACGCGATGTTGTCGGATTTTGTTGAATCTTGGAATCTTGTAACATTTTGTAACCTTGTAGCGGATCAGGAGGCCTCGGATGGCCTCGCTGTTTCACCTTTTCATCCATTGGCAGGAGCGGTCATGGAGGCGGGGGCAAAGGCCTATGCGCTCGCCGACAAAATTTGTCCCTGGGTCAAGGAGGCTCCTGCAAGTCGCTTCAAGGTTGGTTGGTTGGTTGGTTGTGGTGGGCCAGTTGCCAGAAATCACCAGGGAGGATGAGAAACTGAATGCATGTGGGCATCACAATACATCTTCGTGTTGTGTGAAGTTATGTTGATCTTTTCGCATTATATGATATCATGCATCCATATCGATCTATCATGATCTATCCATCTGATCGATCTATCTAGCTATGTTCTCTCGTATCCTATTCCGTCCATTTACATGGTATATATGTATATACGTATATATGTATATATGTATATATGTATATTCTGATTGGGTAGGCTCAAGATACCACGACAGCTAGAAGAAACGAAGAAAGACGAGAACCCTTTGGCAGCCTGTGCCGTGCCAGACCAAGCCCTTCTTTGCCAGCTTCCTCTGCCAGTTCAAGGGCCAAAGTACACCTGGTGCCTCCGACCTGCTGCTGCACCAACACTCTGTGCTGGACCAGCTTCCTGACATAACAGCTTCCCTAGGGTTGTGCGGAATGCCCCAATGAATTTCCATGATGTATTCCACTGTCAGCCCAATGTCAGTTTAATGCTTTTTATTTGGCGGATGCATGCGGATCATTGATATTCCCGAATTCTTTCCTAGCTTGACTGCTGAGGCTTGAGGCTGGTTATATGTGGAGCGTCGCGGCACGGAAGTTAGGGTTGCACTCCAAGACGCAGGCGTCAGAATGTTCTGTGGCGTGGCTTTAGGGCTTGGAAGGCGTTGCTGATGGGCAAGAATAGATGGAGGTTTACCAAACTTGATCTCTGAGTATCTCTGAGAGTCTCTAATTTTTGTTGAGGTTTTCCATGGTTTTCCATTTTTCATTTTTTCCAGCGCCATTTCCCCCCAAAAATCACCACCTCACCAAGGACAACAGCTGTCTCTGGGAGCCGCGCAGCAAGGAAGGCCGCACCGACGGCCAAGCCTTGGCACAGGACGCGGGCGTGGCCGCGCTGTCTTTCGCGGCCAGTTTCATGGCCTGTGAGGAGGCGTATCAGGCGGGAGCTGTCTGATCTGTCTGAACCAGTTGTGATATGTGGATGGGCCAGCGAAATCCACCAGTTGATGGGCAAAATTCCCGGATTTCGCAACCATCCACAGCATGTTGTGATGGTGACTCTGAAGGTCTCCGGAGGTGCCCCAAATCATCCAAGTCATGAATGACCATTTTGGTATTGAAACCTATGGTGATCTATGGTGGCTCGGGGATTCCCCAGTTTCGGAAACCCCAATATGGCCTTATTGAATGGAAAAAAGGATGGGAACATGAACGATTTTGAGTATGACGATAGCCTATTTTCAGTCCATGTCAAAGCCATGTGTAAAAATGTGGGGATTTGTTTCACTTTGGGACATGTTACTGATGATACTGCAAGGACGTGACAGGAAGCATGAAATAGACTTTGGCGGCCTTGGCGCCAGGAAGCCCAGCGCTTCGGGGTGACCTACACGCGTTTCGTTCAGACCAAAGAGAAGTACAATAGCATCTTGACATATCTTGACATATCTTGACATATCTTGACATATCTTGACATATCTTCGCCGCCTTGGCAGAGATGGGTTGCTTCCAAATCTTCCAATATTTGGGACCCAAAAAGAGTCATCAAAGTCCTCGAGACGTCTTGAAAATGCTTCGACCATTACGAACATTGATGACATTTCCGTAGTTCATGGATGTTCATGGATGTTCATGGATGTTCATGGATGTTCATGGATGTTCATGGATGTTCATGGAGCATCCTTCTTGGATTCAGTTGCATTCCCTTCTTTTGGATGCACAGCTGGCGAGGCCCAGATGGAGTGGACGGTCAAGATAAAGCGACCTGTCGTGCTGGGTGAAATTTGGTAGGTGATGGGGCCCTGAGGACATCTGAAGTTCATAAAGTCAGATTTTTCACACCGAATCAAACATGATTTCAATTTATTTCAGTTCTTTCTGCTGAATGATATTCTCTGTTGGTTTTTCAAATCCAATGTAACAGTTGTCAAAAGTATGATGCCCATCACTCAAGAACCATTTCAAGCTACATAAAACAGTGTTTTGAACAATAATGTGGAGATTCTTGGCCCCAACTTTCAAAAATCAGCAGCCTACATGTGGCTTTTGAACATGTTTCGAATCACGACTTGCGCCTTCCTTGATTTTGAAGCGACGCCTGTTCACAAAGGTTCTAATTCTGCAACAAATATTTTCAGGACCTCACTTTAAATCATGCTCCTCCTTGGCTTGATAATCGGAGGACTTGGCTTTAAGCCGGACTTGTTTCGATTGATGTCTAGGGTGCACCCGTTTTCCGTGCAGTCTATTGTCAATATATATATATTGTAATTGGTCACTCTATCTTTTTTTTTCGGGGTGAACTGGCTTCAATGATGGCTCAGGATACATAACATAAACGTCAACATGGGTCACATCTCAAGGTGCCACATGAGCATCGCATCAAGTACGTTTGCAAGTTCACATGCATGTCAACATGTAATTAACAGCGCAGCATTACGTATATATGTGTGCAAAGTTGAACCGGTGAGCCGGAGAGAAACCACCATGAATGTGACGTATGTATAGCTTTGTGACTTAATCCCATTTCGATCCATTTTTGGGGCCGGGAATCTGCATAGGTAGTCTGATAGGCTGAGCTTGACTTTTGGGCATGTGTCTTCGGTCGAGGCCTCGAGCGAAACAACTGGAAGAGAGAAGGATTACGTCGGTGCAGCAATTCTGATCTGGGAGTACAACAGAGAGCTGTGGCTGCATTGGCACGGAGGGGGTAGGTATATATTTGATTGTGTGAGGTGACGTGCTCATTCTGGCCTAGATTGACGCAAGCGGCTGTTCTTCTAGATAGGACGAGCTTTGCGCTGTCACAGTCGCAATGTAACATGTACCCTTTGTGGCCACCCTTGGTGCCTCAAACCGCAGACGATTCGGCTTTTTCGCGATTGAGGAGATGATTGCGCATCAACTCAAGCTCCGGGATGATGTGCAGAGGTATCCCTTCCTTCTGGACCCAGCACCTCGGTTTACACTTTGGGTAGCCACGGTTTGGGTCTGCTGCCGATACTTCCTGGGCTTTGAGCCTCCATCGGGATGGCAGGGCCGACGTGCCCCAAAATTTTGCCTAGTTTCAAAGTATGGTTCAGGAGTTCGGTAGCAAAGGAATTTTGATTCTTATCTTTCTATGCGTTTGGATTTGGGTTCACTATTTGAGACCCAGAAAAATCAGAAAACGTAGAGATTTTTTCGGTGCTTCGTGGTAATTCTTCCAGGTTTTTGTTTAAATTTTCTTGAACCGATATAATTAGTAGGTATCCTGGTAATTATCCTCATTTTGTTTGTTTGCTTCCTCCCGTTTTCGATTGGTCAAACCTCTTGAATCATCCAATTGTTCTCCCATTTGCTTCAATGGTTCAACCCATTGAAGCCCACCATATTTCTAGATCAATATATCAATATCAATATATCAACACACACACAGGCACACACATACATACATATATATATTTACACATTTATATGCATCTGTACATGGCATCTCTTTAAACAGCAATTTCCCCATCGACCAGGTCACCCAGCCGGAGAAGGAGGCCGTCTTCGGTGTGGTCTCAGAGGTCCTGCAGATCATCGGGCATCAGCTGGAGCAGTTAGCACTGGAGGAATCCATAGAGGAGATGGAGGAGATGGGTGGGATGTATGTGGAGGTTTCCATGGTACCCCCCTAGTTATCATCCATTTAGATGGGGATTTTCCAGGAAATAAACCACGAATTTTGGGGGATCCTCCATTTATGGAACCCCCCATGTAGATATCATATGACCTGAGCTGACATAGCGACATTGAACAGTTGGACAGTTCGTTGAGTTCAACGATAAACTTGGGGATTTCCCAGAGCTATATGAAATTACCAGAGAGTATATCGTAGATATATTATATATAATATATACACATATATATAATATATACACATATATATAAATATATATAAATATATATAAATATATATATATATCAATATATATATGTTATGTACATTCATGTGCTAAATTAGTATACATGAGGTTAACAATGATTTTTTGTTCTTTTTTCAAATGATATTTGATGTGATGTAAAAAGTCTTGTTTGTAGCTGCAGTTAGGTTTATCTCTTGAAGCGCGCGCACACACACA